CTGAGTAATTTTCTTGCTAACATCTTATAAAAAGTACTTGTCACATGAAGTGTAAATTTGTATCTTGCAAGTTCAGGATTCTATAGTTAGATTGTGATATTTATGGCTTTTAAGCCTAATGTCTCCTCTTAGATTGGCATTCTTTAATACCCTTTCTCATTCTTGTCCCAGGACCCATTTTTAGTTTACATTGTCTGCAGCATTTCAATAATATTGTTCTGTTCTAATGCTCACCGTGACCAATAAACAGTGCACGGGTGGGTCCCAAGGCACTGTGCTGCCAACATTCCTGGATATTATGTATTAATCCCCAGGGCAGTGGAGGTTAAGCACTCTCCTGTCTTGGCTTAAGACTAATCTGGGAACTATAACAAATGCATTTAAAGCATTAGATCATATTCTAAATATTGCTTCCTACTACATTAAAAGATTCAACTTCTGAAAATATTACTGTCTTTCCACATATCTGTGACTTTTTAAAAAAAACTGTACATGTTCTATTCTTCTTAAAAATTGTAATAGTGGGTTTGCTAGTTAAAGCATTAACACCTGAGATAATCTATGTATTAACTTTCTCATTAACCTAGGAAATTTATTTTTGTTTCCTATTATTATTAATTTTTTCTCAACCATATTAGCATATTTTTCAGTCCTTTAGGGTACAATAATTTAGTATTTTAGGGCTTATGTTGTGCTAGAACTGGTTCCTTGTGGCTTGGGAGAGCTGAATGCTGCACCCATTTCTTTCGAACTCCATGTTCAGTGATCTTACATTGGTAGCTTAAAATTGGCCACACCATAAAAATAGGCAAACATCACAAATCACAGCTTTCTATTTATTTATTTCTCTGTTTTGAAAGCCAGTCAATATTTACCAACAAACCACTGATTTTAACCATTCTATAGTTATATATATATATATGTATATATTTATATATACATTTTAAATATATCTTTATTGATTTCAGAGAGAGGAAGGGATAGAAAGAGAGAGAGAAATATCAATGATGAGAGTCATTGATTGGCTGCCTCCTGTACACCCCTGCCGGGGATCGAGCCCGCAACCTGGGCATGGGCCCTGACTGGGAATTGAACCATGATCTCCTGGAGAAAAGGTCGATGCTCAACCTCTGAGCCAGGCCAGCCGGGCCATTCTATGGTTATATTATCTATAGATACAGATCATGAAGGTACAAAGAATTTTAAAGTTCACTGAATCCAAACATCATTGCTCCAAACAATAAGAACAGTGAAATGAGCTTGCAAAAATCATGCAGCTAATAAAAGATCCACAATTACAATTCTGCTTTCCTGATTTCTAACCCATTTCTCTGCTTACCACAGATAGAGAAGGGAAAGGACACCAATTCCAACCCATTACATATGTATTCCAGGTCAACTTTAGGTCAGGCCCTTTGTTCTATGATGTGTGGGATACAAAAATGAAGCACTTAAAATGTTGATTAAGCTCATTGTTGACTCTGTGACACAGAAGTGCCACTTAATATCAGCTCCTAGCAGATAACACTCTCACCAGCCCTACCATATCCACCCATATAGTAAAGATTAAAAGAGAGAGAGAGATAAGCAGGACCAAATTTGACCTTTAACCTTTGTCTTCTATATCTTAGCCAGGGATCAGGCACAAAGGATGGGGAAAGTCCTGGTATCAGTATCCTAGTCTTGTGGAAAGCCAAGACTAGGGGGGGAGGGGGCTAGCAGAGGCTGGGAGGGGGGTAGCTAGTTTCTGGGTCTATTAATCATAAAAGAAATGAAGGTCATTTAGGTCATTTGCTAACTTAAAATTTATTTTTATGTTATGATAAACTATCCTGATTATTCTTGTCAGATAGCATATCTTTTCTAAAATTATCTTTAATATCATTAATAATCCCAGGTACCCTGCTTTCATTCCCATGGACTCTATAGAGGGTCAGTCATTAGGGATCTAAAAGGCATGTGAGGCTACAACTACTGGATTGAGGCCAAATGATACAGAGGGTAATTTGCATAGTAGTGTGTAACCGAGAGGGGGAATCTTTTTTTTTAATGGGTAGTGAGGAGTAAAAACAATCCCTGCACTCATACATTATTATCAATGATGAATGGCAACCCAAGATGACGGGATAAAACATCTAATGTCTGTCCTGCACCTGCCCTAACAGGACAGCTCTGCAGATGCCTTCCTGAGATTTGCCTTGGGGTGAAGGCCTACCCTGAGCAACTGGTGGAAACAGGCAGAATCCTTCTCCAGGGATTTATCCATTTACCTGTGTATAGCAAAAAATAAAAATAAATTAAAAGTTATCACAAAATACTGATGCAGAGCTAGGAGATTAGTTTCAGTTATTTACTTTCCCAAGTTCGTCTGACAGAGACTGATCAGTGTTAGAAAGCCTTTAGCCCTACTTTGGGACTACTACAACTCAATGACTATATAGTCCCACTAAATTGTGGTTTATCTATGTTTAGTTTGTAACAAGATTTTTTTTTCTTTCATATCAACAGGCCTTATTGTTCACATCAAATAGTCATGTTGATTTATGCCACCATTTGGAAACGAAAAAAGTCACGAGATGAGTGTTTTCCTGATAACGAGGTAATTTTTAAAAATACCCCTCCCCCTTTTTACATTCAGTTAACTAATATGAATCCTAAGCAGAACAAGTTTAACAGCATCCCGGTAACAGGGAAGGACTAGTTCAGATTTCAGAAATAAATATACCTATAGATATTTATCTGGCTGCTAGTTAACTAATATATTACAAAACCTATTGAACATGAAAAGTGCTGATTGGGCATTTAAGCACATATTTCAAAATGCTTACTTTAAATCACATATTTTTTAAACTTTGTATGTGTAAGTGAATAAAATAATTAGGACATGATTTTAATAAATAATTTATATCTTAACCCACTCATTTCAATATAGATTCTGGAAATGTCATTTTTAGCATGAATCCCATGAAGCAATGTAACAACTATTTAAAATTTCAGTGGTGACTACTTAGGTAACTTACATAAAGCAAGATGTTACATAATCATACAGAAATTGGCCCATAAAATGACAATAGTCCAAGCAGAACCTAACTTTATCAAATATCCTATATATAATTGTATGACATTCTGAAATAAATTTAAACTGCCCATTTTGATTAAACTGAACTTTAAACTGCCCATTTTGATTCATGAACTTTAACAAGAATTAATATCAAAATTCATGTTAAACTTCACTATTGTCAGCCAAGTTCATTATATTAAATCAAGAAGAATAAATGAATGAGGAAATTATTTATTGCAATTATTTCGCCCTTTTAATTAGCTTGTCCTGCCTAGGACATTACTGAGCCTTTTTAAAAAGCTGCTAGGCATTTATTGTAAAGCATGATTGAACTTTTACATGAGTGTATTACTGGGTGTGTACTTTTCTTATTTACCAAATAAAACAAAAAGATAATTTTTAAGATATGAACAAAATGCTAAATTAAATATCTGGTATAAATTAGTAGGATAAAACTAATCAAATGAAAACAATAAATGGTGGTAAAAGGGTCCCACTGACAACTCTAAAGGCTATAATTCCAAGTTCAGACCCTCTTTCTGACAGATCTTGGCCCCAAGTCAAGGTTTCGTTTCTCCTTGAGAGCACATAAGGGATTCAGCCATCTCAAGGGCAGGTGAAACTAACTCCTGCATGACACCGCTCCCCTCAGATGGCGTGCATGTTTTCCTTTACCCAGGTCTTGGAGGCCCGGAATGAGGACGGGCTGTGGGCTGAGGTTTCAGGTTGGCTGGCAGTTGTTTAGTGTTCATGTTTGAGAACGGTTGAGCTTGGACAGACCTAGAAGGTATTACGCTAATTGTAGTAAGACAGAGAAATACAAATACCATATGATTTCACTTATACTATGTGGAATCCAAAGAACGAAATCAATGAACAAACAAAAGAGTAACAGATTCATAGATGCAGAGAACAAACTGATGGTTGCCAGTTGGAAGAGGGGTTGAGGGGCTGGGTAAGAAAGGTGAAGGGAGGAAGAAGTATAATTGGTAGTTATAAAATAGTTATAGGGAGGTGAAGTATAGCACAGGGAATACAGTCAATCATGTTAGAACAAGGGTCTCAAGGTATGGGCAGTTCCAAATGTTATTTCTTGCTAAATGTTAAAAGGTAGCACAGTATTTTGCAGATGCAGCAATAACAGGATGAACTGACAGGAACTCAACCCAATGGATGTGGCTAACTACAGAGAAGAAATCAACACATACATAAGCAATGGCTAAGCCTCCCTTTGAGGAGGCAGAGCTATGGATAGGAACCCATCCCCTGTCACCTTTACTTGCTGCAAGTAAATAAAGCTACCTTGCCACAATCAGGTCTCATTTTCTAATAAACAACCCAAGTGGCAAACCCCTTGAGTCCAGTAACAATAATATTGTAGTAATGATGTAGGGTGCCAGGTGGGTGCTTGAAATATCCAGGGGACTTCATAAACTGTGTAATTGCCTACCTGTGCCAAATACCTGAAACTAATATAAAATAATGTTGAATGTCAACTGTAATTAAAAAATAAAAATAAATATCTCGTAAGAGACTATGAAACAGTTTTGTCAGTAGCAACAACAAAAACCAGGAAGAAGGAAACCAAAAACTGGATTTGAATGATCGTTTCTCTTGGTACTCATGGGGGTTAAAAGGCTATGTTTTCAAAGTACAGTCTGAAGAAAGGGCTGGTAGTAAAGGTGGAGAGTGAGTTTCAGACAGTGCGGAACAAGCTGGGAGGGCAGACCTCTTCCGAGGCCCGAGAACTGTTTGATCTGCCAAGAAATGAAACCACGGCCACAGCTCCTCCCTTCCCAGGAAACGAAACCTAAAGCAGTGCAGCCTCGGGCAGCAGCAGAGAGGCCAGCAGTGTCCCGCGCCCTGCTCTGCGCCCAGCTCTGCGCCAGCTCTGCGCCCTGCTCTGCGCCCAGCCCTGCGCCCAGCTCTCCACCCCTGCCAGAGCCCCAGCATGGAGCTCAGTCAGGTCCAGGCCAGGGACCTGGACAAGTTCATCGAAGACCACCTCCTGCCGGACACGCCTTTCCGCAGGCAGGTGAGGCGGGCCATCCACGACATCTGCAGCTTCCTGAAGGAGGAGTGCTTCCAAGGTGCCCCCCACCCGGTGCGGGTGTCCAAGGTGGTGAAGGGCGGCTCCTCGGGCAAAGGCACGACCCTCCGAGGCCGGTCGGACGCTGACCTCGTAGTCTTCCTGAGCCAGCTCAGAAGTTTTCAGGAGCAGTTGGATCGCCGAGGGGAGTTCATCAGGGAAATCAGGAGACAGCTGGTGGCCTATCAGAGAGAGACAGAGGTGCAGTTTGACATCCAGGATTCTTCCTGGCAGAACCCCCGCGCGCTCACCTTCACGTTCAGTTCCCCATGGCTCGAGGAGAGCGTGGAGTTTGATGTATTGCCCGCCTTTGATGTCCTGGGTCAGCTGACAAGAAGCCCTGGCCTACAGATCTCCACAGGCTACAGGCCTGACCCCCAGATCTACGTGAGACTCATCAAAGAGTGCACGCGGCTGGGGAAAGAGGGCGAGTTCTCCCCCTGTTTCACCGAGCTGCAGAGAGCCTTCCTGAAGCAGCGCCCAACCAAGCTCAAGAGCCTCATCCGCCTGGTGAAGTACTGGTACCAGCTGTGCAAGGAGAGCCTGGGCAAGCCCCTGCCCCCGCAGTACGCCCTGGAGCTGCTCACGGTCTACGCCTGGGAGTGTGGAAGCCAGGCCACTGACTTCAGCACAGCTCAGGGCTTTCGGACTGTGTTGGAGTTAGTCATGAACTACCAGGAGCTTCACATCTTCTGGACAGAGTATTACGACTTTGAAAATCCTGTTATTAGTCAATACCTGCTGAAACAGCTCAAGAAACCCAGGCCCGTGATTCTAGACCCAGCTGACCCTACGGGAAACGTTGCTGGTGGACAGGCATGTGGCTGGCTGCGTCTGGCACAAGAGGCTGAAGACTGGTTGAGTTACCCATGCTTCCAGAATTGGGATGGGTCTCCAGTGAGCCCCTGGAACATTCAGCTCCATCATGGCCCGATAAGCTGCGGTTGCAGAATATATGAATATGAACAGCAACGTGAATACTATCAAACCTATGAAGCACCCCAGAAGGAAGAGAACTGGACCTGCACCATCCTCTGAACACCACTGCATCTTAGGGGACAGGGCTCCAGAGTCACCTGGGCCAGCCTCCACATTTCCAGGGGATGAATGTTGATTCAGAGAAGATAGAGGACTGTGCCAAGCCAGCAGTGAGTAAGACAGACCTAGGACCAAAATCTAGGTCTCCTGAGCCCACCCTTCCCACTCTTCCATGCTTCTGTTCTTTCACAGATAGCATTTTTCCCTCAGCCCCACCCCACCCCACCCCACCTAGTCTCAGACAGCAAGAGAAATATAGACAAAAGAGTGGAATCCCAGCCTTGACTTTCTTCTGTGTATTTGGTGGGAGGGTTTTGGTCCAATTTATTGTCACTTGCAATAAAAATAATAGCAAAAGAAGAATAAATTATCAAAAGACCACCTTGAGAAAAAAAATATGTGTGTCCCTGTGCAGTTCATCTGGGTTCTCCAAGGCTCTGCGTCCTCATGGGTAAAATGAAGATGAGAGTGTTGTTCCAGCCCATCTCCCAGGCTTATGTTGAAGCTCATGGAAAAGTATTTTGTAAAAGGAAAAGTATCATTCAAATGTAATATGTAATAGAAGTCATAACTGTTCTAAAAACTATCAGGCCAAAATTTTTATCTGTCATGCTGTTTTTTAAGAAGAAATTGACACAAAATAATTACTTTTACAACCCATATATATGGTTCTATTATGCAACATAAACGAAAGGGTAGACTTCATGAGCAGTGTTAAGATTGTACACTACACACTTGCTACTGTTTAATTAAAAGTGGCCATTTCTGCCACATTGAACATTTTATCCAAGATCCTTTTAGATTTCTCTTTGTTTTACCCACCACCCTTTCCCTATCCCAGTTTTACCAACTTAAAAAAACCCTCTTTTAATAATCATCTAAATTCTCTTTTGATAAAATCTGGCCATTTCAGCTTTGCCAATAGCCATCTACACCTAGATGACAGAGATTAACTTTATTTCAAATCCGCTCTTTCCTTCGGTTTTGTCTCCCTCTTCCCTTGCAGCTCTCTCCTGGACTTCAAAGCAGCTTTGCGGTTTGCCTTGCAGAAAATCAATGGTTGGGAGATGAAACACAGCTCTTGTTTACCTCCTGCTTCCTGAAGGTCATTCTTCTCAGAAGCCTGTTGAGATTCACAGCCATTTTTCCTTACGGAGGGAAGAAGTAAATTGACCACATTCTCAAAACCACAATAAGGAGTGATGCCCACTTTAAGTGGCTAGGATCACATCACATGCAAATATATCGATAAGAATACATAGAGGATTGGAGTACTGATTGGAGGGTTTGGAGTATAAATTTAGAGTATTAACGGTTATGATCCTGATTTTTTTTTTTTTTTGAAAGGCTATGTCTGGACTTGCAAAACTTTACAAATAGTTTATTACATTCTCTAATAGATACCTGAGAAGTTACTTGAATTTAGTAGGCTTTAAGGATTATGAGTAATGAATGAGTGTGGGCGGGTATGTATTTCTACATAGATAAGTAGAAGCATTGTTTCCCTACTGCTGGTATGGCCAAGTGGCTGGCCTTGCTTACCCAGGTTGTTTGTGTATCAGTCTCTTTTCAAAGGGTGATGACACCATCTAACACTGCCCTATCACGCGCATTGCTTAGCTCTCAGTGTTCTTTATGTTCCAAGGCCATTTCTTGGGCCAGTATTGGAAAAGAGACCTAAAAACACAAACATTTCCCAATGCCATCAAAATTATGCTTTCCTGGGGTCCCATAGTTTATGGCTGTGCTTCAAAGGTAACACTTTGTTCTGCCTCTATGATGTAGCTAGTGGGTTATGTCAGGTAGTAAAGTTTTGGTAGTTTTTTTGGGGGGAAGCTCCTAAAGTCAGAGACCTAAAAATCCTTGCCAATCACAACTCTTCTCCACCAAACTTCCAAATGGAATTTACACACCGGGGGAAAAGAGCAAGTGGAAAACAAGTACCCATTTACAGCTGGGCCAGTGACCACTACTCTCCAAGTCAGAGCTTTGGTAAACCTGAATTAAAACCCGTAGCTTAGACTCAAGGCTTGTGGCAGAATCTAAATTTGGAATCCGTTTTCTAGTTTATCACATGGTATGGGAACTAAAACAAAAGAGCAGCTAGCTGAAGTATGTATATAAAGAGATAAGAGCCAGAAAGACAAAAAAGATGGCCAGGTAACTAAAGGGGCTTATTTCAGCTCACCGACTGGACCACTTGCAGTGGAAGTAAGAGAAGAGCTAACCTCTTAGAACCCTGCTGTATTAGTCAGGGTTCTCCAGAGAAACAGAAAAAATATGTATATGAGATTTATTATAAGGAATTGGCTCACACAATTACGGAGGCTGGCAAGTCCCAAGATCTGCAGGGTAAGGATGGCAAGCTAGAGTCCCAGTAGAACTGACGTAAGTCTGGTCTGAAGGCCAGCAAATTCAAGACCCCACGAGAGCTGACATCTCAGTTCAAGCTCAAAGGCAGGAAAAGGCTGATGTCCCATTTCTGAAAGTCATCAAGCAGGAATAATTATCTCTTATTTGGTGGATGGTCAGCCTTTTGTTCTATTCAGACCTTCAGCTGATTGGATCTGGCCCACCCACCCTGGGGAGGGCAATCTGCTTTACTCAGTCTACCAATTCAAATGTTAATTCACCCAGAAACACCCTCACGGGCACACCCAGGATAATGTTTGAGCAACTATCTGGGCGCACTGTGGCGGAGTCCAGTTGACTCAGAAAATTAACCAGCATTTAGAATGTTACCCTTGCCCAGTAGTAAGTGTGACCCAAAAATGATGTTCCACAACCAGGCCAATCAGATTAGCATTTCCTCCTTTTGTGGGGCAAAAATGTGAGAGGGGTTCTTCTTCCCTGATTCTATGGCTCTTCTCCCTCTCTAGATTTCTTTAAAGGTAAAATGAGTAGCACTTTCATTTCACCATTCCTCACAGAAATTAGCACACTGTCAGCACGGAAGTGGGCTTCAATGAGTGTTTATTGAATGAATGAAGAAAGTCACTATTCAGAATATTAAAAGCATCAATCAGCAATGATTGACTAGGTCCCAGGTATATGTCTGTACCCTGGGATATGCAGTGGGTGATGATATTAAAGAGACAGTGCATGGCCTCAGTTATAAGGGTTGGTACATAGAAAGGAATTTTAAAAGGGAACAGTAACATAACTGTGTGGCACAGGCTACAAATGTTCTGTGTGCTCAGCAAAAGCTGGGCCTGGTACTTCCCTGTGAGCTGGGGCTCACCCTAATGAGACCACTTCCCAAGGTGAGGGGCTCTTGCTTGGACTTAAACACTTTGCACCTACTAAATATATGACTTTGGACAAGTTGTTCTGCCCCTTCCATCTCAGTTTCCTTATCTATTAAACAGGATTGGTCAATGCCTGCTTTGCCGGTTACATAGGAGGAAAATGGTTGTAAGACTAGTACTTACACAGAGAACACATTAAATAAAGATAGCTATTTTTAGACTTTTTATTGTTCACCTACCAGAAGAGAGCTTTTCACCTTATAATCAGTTAACCCTTGAAACCGCAGTAAACCTCATGATGTCTCCTTGCTTTTGGTCTTTTTCCACCCATTAGGTGAGAATTAACTAGCCAAGACAGAAAAGGTGCTAAGGTTTGCAGTGAGCACGAGGAAGGGCCAGGAAGGAAGGAAATAGGGCCCTTCCTTCCAGATGCTCACCCTAAAACGAGGGCCACAGGCAGGGCTGGGAGTGTTAAACAGCCATGAGCTGGGCGCTGTGGAACTTGTTGCAATTCTTGCTGACTTGGGGGGAAGTGGCACCTGTTTGCCAGGGTTACTTGCCAGGCACCCTGACAGCTGTCACGCATTTGCCTGCTGAAAGAAAGACACGGCAGTGGCCAGCTGCTGCTCCCACAATGAACCTGTGCAGAAAATCAGTCTACCCTGTGACTGTGATGAGCTGTGCGTTTCTGCCTCAGTAAGCTGCCCCACCAGCGCTGATGTCTTACTTTTCAAAGACCTCATTTAGCGTCTGTTATAAGACGCAGCAAGCTGAAATTCCCTTTTGGCCTCTGCCTGGCGCCAACATGTTCCACTGCCTTTGTCCTTTACATGCATCCATTTCCTAAAAGCACAGCAAGTTGATTCTGGTGCGGGTGGTAAGGACGTGTCTTCCCGGGCACCTCAGCGGGAGAATTCAATCTTGATGCACCAATTCTGACACCGCTGAGCACAAAAGTGCCACGATAAATCTTTCCTCTGTTGCTTCATTATTGATGTTAGTAACAAATTATTTTAACTCGCTGAGAATTCATGGGCTCAGGTAAGAAGGAGGAAATTTTAATTCACAACAGTGTTACTCCCATTCTGTTTCTTTTCTGAAAGTAGCCTATGGAGTTTCCTCAGGAGATTAAACATGGAACTGCCTTAAGACCCAGTGATTCCACTTCTGGGAATTTATCTGAAGAAACCCAAATCACTAATTTGAAAGAATATATGCACCCCTAAGTTCATTGCAGCTTTATTTACAATAGCCAAGATCTGGAAGCAACCCAAGTGCCCATCAATAGATGAGTGGATAAAAAAGCTGTGGTACATATATATAATAGAATATTAGTCGGCTGTAAAAACAAATGAAATCTTACGATTGTGACAGCATGGGTAGATCTAGAGGGTGTTATGCTCAGTGAAATAAGTTGGTCAGAGAAAGATAAATACCATTTAATTTCACTTATATGTAGGCTCGAAAGAACAAAGTAAATGCACAAAAAAATTGAGACTGACTTATAGATACAGAGAGAGAACTGGTGGTTGCCAGAGGGGAAAGGGATTTGGGGCACTGGGCAAAAGAGGTGAAGAGACTAAGAAGCACAAGTTGGTAGTTATGAAACAGTCATGGGGAAGTAAAGAAAGCATAGGAAATATTGTCAATAATATTCTGATAACTATGTACGGTGCCTAATGGGATACTGGAATTATAGAGGGGAACACTATGTAAAATATATTACTGTCTAACCACTAAGCCATACACCCCAAACCAACACATAATAAAAATAAAATAAAGCAAAAAATAAATAAAAAAATAAAAATAAAACTAGCCTAATTGCTTAACCTAAAAAAACAACAACAACAAAAAATACCATAATATGTAATTCCTTGGAATAACTTTTATATCGGGACTTTTAATTTTAAAAACTACCTTAACTGTGTCTCTTATTACAAGCACTCACACCAAATAAAGCTGGAGTTAAAATTTAGCAGGTTATGTTTACCTTTATTTTTATTGTTGC